TATTATTCCCTTTTTATCTTTATAGCTGCTACCTCATGTCTCAATTTACAGCCTCACAATCTCAGACTTTCCAAGGAAAGGAAGAGTCATGAAGGGCACCATCAATAAAGTCAACCAACAGGGAATAGGTTGGGAGAAGTTATCCGATAATTCAAAACTGATAAGGGTCAAGATCTAGAATATTTAAGAAAACCTTATAAAAAAAAGGAAACCCACAGAAAAATGGGTAAAGCGAAGACTGTACACTCAAAGAGCTAATCTGGAGAGCGATCTGGAGAAACTTAGCTTAATTTAGCGTAGGTCCCATGACCTATCCACTCCACTATGGTGGAAGTTGTGCTCTGGTGCCCAAGGAGGCATGTGTAAGGATGTTTGCTTGAGCATTATTTGTGGAGCAGGGCATTGTGGACAACCTAGGTATCTGTCTCTAGGGGGGTTTATGGGGAAATAGTGTGGATACTCACAGAGGTAACAAAATAAAGATAGTTATGTGGAAAGATCTTTCATACATAGCATTGAGAGGAAAAAATAAGATCTATGACATGATTTACTTAGGCAAATTTAAAACATAAACACAAAACAAAATAGTACCTTATTTCAATATATCTACATGTCCAGGAAAAATGCCAAACACATTACACTGCTTATCTACAGATAGAGAAGTAGATTGGGAGTGGAGGTTGAAAATAAGGAAGAAAAGTAAAAGAAAACAAGGTAGGGATCTTGCACCGATGGTCGATATCTGCGTCATGAACTTGGGAGTGTGACCAACTCAGTCCTCTGCAGTTGAGGTTCTATGTTTACTAGCTAAGTCCTATTGAGATTCAAGCTTGCATGCTATCTCCTAGTTAAGCATGGCCACAATTTTAAATACTTGTTTTCAAGAAAAAAAGGTTTAAGTAGAGCCTTTCCTGTAATTACATAATTTGTGGAAGCCACTTTATACCAATAGGAGTCCTAAAGCCACTGTAAACGAATGACTTTTCTCCAAAATCATGCTTTTAAATTACCAATGGGAATATGTTGTCTTTTCCATTGTCTCAAAAACTTTGGACTCTGGAAAACCACAATCAACTTCATCTGTAATTTTACTTGATGTAAGTTCCATTTTGCTCTCTACTTTCTTACTCCTTTTCAACAAATGTTAAACATTTTTAAACTCTTCTGGGATAGTGATCAGGTTTTGACTAACTATTTTTTCCATTTTTCATGAGAAATTTATGAAGAAGTTTGGAAGAATTATACCTAGGTCTGAAGATATTTTATGACTGAAGATTTGGCCAGTACATTTAAGCCTTGGCTCAAAGCTGACCACACTCTGTGTTCACTTGATAATTAGTCCTGAAATTCTCTCTGAGCCGTAGGAATGAGAAGATTTTTTTTGTAAACTCTTCTCTTGTATTACTAGGGAAATCTCTCTGCCCCTTAGATAAACCAAGTTTGTTCTCTTCCTGATGAAATCTTGATTTAATGTTTATTTATTGATTACTTACTGTGTGCCAAGACACGTGTTACTTGATTAGCCACGGACGGCTTGCCTGACCTGGGAAGTTCGCTGAGATCCTCATGATGGTGAGGCCGATTAGCTGACGCTGATCAGGACACACTCCTCAGAATGTGCCGACACAGCAGAATCGCCCGGGAGATTTTCAGACATGCAGAAACTCAGGCCCAGCCACAGACCTAGGGAATCAAAGCTTGTGTTACAACAAGATCCCCGGGTGATTCTTAAATATGTTAAAGTTTGAGAAGCACTGGGAATCATTCCTTGGCATGTGGACAGTGATGTCAGGTCGAAGAAGAGCTGTTTTAAAATTATATCTTTTTACACGGTTATTCTTGCGTTTCTGATTCATTCACTCATTCAATACACATTGAGTGCTTGTTATATTTTGAGTGTGTGTGTACGAAAGCAGACAAGACATG